AATCCCGCATGGGCAGAGCCTGGGAAGCTACCCATGTCATATTGGATATGCCAAAACCAGTAACTATAACGGGTCTCATTCCCCTGACCCTGAAAAAGCCTCCAATCGTTGGCAAAGACAAGTAAGGAGAGTCTGCTAAAATCTCAGGGCTGGGACTAATAGAGATGTTACTGGCACCCGCTCAAGTAAATTGACGAACAATTGGATGACAGTGATAACAGTGACAGTGATTCATGAGGGGCAGTGGTGGAAATTATATTAAGACTGACTTATTAGTTATTTCACTTTATGCCACTATTTACTAGTTAGGTTTCTTTTTTCTTGGTCTGATGACTTGCCCGTTGTTGTAAATGGCATGTTCTGGTCCCCAGCAGTGCCATTAATGCATCCCTGAAGGCCTTCATTGTCTTGTGTATCTGGTGACTCTTATCTTGGTTACATCTAAACTGACCATCTTTATCTTCTTGAGGGATTGACCCCTTGATACGCATCTTTGGTTCACAGCCTGTTTTCTCTGATAGAAGAATAATAGCATCCTTTTCCCTGTCATGTTGTTCTGTTGTCTCCTTTCTCTAGCCTTCCACCCTGCACTTCATTTATCTATATGTCAGACTTCAGGCACGTGTGTACGCAAGAGAGCTCTGGGGAATGTTTCATCATCAGAATGACTGCATTCTTCCTTTTGTTTGATTAGTTCAGATCATTCACTTTTGGGGTGATTATGACTATATGAGCTTCCTCACTGCCATTCTAGTATTGCTTTTCTGGCTGTTATTTATGTTTTTTTCTCCATTTCCAAAAAGACAGTTTTTCTCTGCCTTTTATGTGGACTGTTAACCCACTCCATTTATTGTTTTTCTTCTAAATATCTCTGTCCAGATGTTTGTTTCATTGCTACCATAGTGATTGCATTATACGTTTCATATCTTAGACTGTCTTTCTTTTGCCAGTGCTGATTCACGCCATTTGTATATGCTGGTTTTGCCTTTTTTTCTTTTCCCTTTCATCTTTTGTGGCTGTCTTCTATCTTTGATATATTTGTTTCTGTTGTTGTATTGCAATTCATCTTCTTGCGCAAGGTTTTAGGGTTTGTTTTTGTATCTCCTTTTCATGTAGAAAAATTCCTTTCACACTTCTTAGCACGTTTTGTGGTGGAAAACTTTACTTTTACCTTTGTCTCCTTAGAATTCTCTTTAGAATATTACATTATATACGTGTATATACATATATGCATATATATACATATATATATACACTGTAGCACTGTCCTCCCGTTGTTCATCGATTTGCTCGAGCAGGCACCAGTAACATCTCCATTGTGAGACTTGTTGCTGTTTTTGGCATATCGAATACACCACGAGGAGTTTGCCAGGCTCTGCTGTGCAGGCAGGATACTCTCACCAGCTTGCTGGGCTCTCCGAGAGGGGCAAGGTGGAGGAATCGAACCTGGGTCAATGCCCTACCTGCTGTGCTATTGCTCCAGCACATATATATATACATATATATATATACATATATACATACATACACATTCAGTGCCAAGGATTAGACCTGGGACTGCATACATCCCCAGCCCCTAATATCAACTTTTTTTTTTCTTTTTGACTTTTGGGCCACATCCAGAAGTGCTCGGGGCTTATTCCTGGCTCTGCACTCACATCTGCACTCGATAGTTATCACTCCTATCGAACTTGGAAAACCAGATAGGGTCCCGTGGATTAAACTCAGGTCAGCCACTTGCAAGGCAGGCATCCTGCCAATTGCACTCTTTGGTCCCCTAATATAGACTTTTGGAAATTTAATAATAATATATCTTAGTTTAGGTTATTTTAGATTTTAAAAATGAGGTTTTGTCTTGTTTTCCTGGTCACCTGTGTGTAGGTCTTTCTTTTGATTTGGGAAGGTCTCAAGCTGCTATTTCTTTTTTTTTTCAAACTTTTATTAGTAAGACACCATGAGGTACAGTTGTAGACTTACAAATTTTTGTGCTTGGGTTTCAATTACACAATGATCAAATACCCATCCCTCCACCAGTGCCCATTTCCCACCACCACGGATCCCAGTATCCCTCCCACTCCCCACCCCCCCCTTCCCACCCTGCCTCTGTGGCAGGGCATTCCCTTTTGTTCTCTCTCTCCTATTTGGTGTTGTGGTTTGCAAAAGAGGCAATGAGTGGCAATCATGTTTGGTCTATAGTCTACTTTCAGCATGCTTATCCCATCCTGGGAAGATCCTCCCAACATCCTTTATTTGGTGCTTCCTTCTCTCTCTGAGCTGCCTTTTCCCCTAGCATGTGTGGCTGGCCTCCAAGCCATGGAGCAAAATTCCTGGTACTAATCTCAGCCATTCTTGGGTGTTAGTCTCCTATTTTGTTACTTTATGTTCCCCAGATGAATGCAATCTTTCTATGTCTATCCCTTTCTTTCTGAGTCATTTCGCTTAGCATGATACTTTCCATGTAGTACCACTTGTATGTAAATTTCATGACTTCATCTTTTCTAACAGCTAAATAGTACTCCATTGTGTGAATGTACCAGAGTTTCTTTAACCAGTCATCTGTTCTCGGGCACTCAGGTTTTTTCCAGATTCTGGCTATAGTAAAGAGTGCTGCAATGAACAAACAAGTGTCAAGCTGCTATTTCTTGAACATGGTATTTTGCTCCCTTTTCTCTGTCATCAGCTTCTTGGGTGTGCCCACAACTCTTAATATTTGTCCTTCTCGTGGAGTCTGATATCTCTCATAGATTTTCTTCATTTTTCCTAAATCTTGTTTCTTCTCTTCCATTGAGTCATTGCTGTGATTTTTTTTATCTTCAATTTTATATATTCATTATTCTGCAGGATTGAGTCTTACACTTAACTTTTTTTCCCGTGTGTTGTTCATCCCCAGAATATCAGAACTTTGTTTGTTTGTTGGGGGTGGGGACACACCCTACAGTGTTCAGGGCTTACTCCTTGCTCGGTGCTCAGGGATCACGCCTGGCGGTGCTTGTGGAACCATATGTAGAGCTGGGATTGAGCCCGGGTCAGCCGTGTGCAAGTCAAGCACCTTACCTACTAAATTATCTCTCAAGTTTGGGAGTTTTTAATCTCTTCCCTTGTGTTTCTGTAGCTCCTGAGAATTTAGCTAAGATCCTTTTACTTCATTGAGTTTTTTTATGCCAAGCCTTCTCAGTACTCTGTGTGTGGCCTTCTCAAACTCTCTGCCTAAGTTTGCCTTCTAGAGACTTTTTATTTTCTTAGCGGAATTTCATCTGATTTTCACAGTGGTTGCCTGCAGCGTTTTTCTGCTCATGCATCTGGGTTAGCCTCATTTGTTTTCTTGCAGGTGGTTCTGTGGCTTTCATGCTGGAATTCTTTGTGTTTGTGTCTCAGATGGAGAGGGGGCGAGTGACATCAGTGAGGAGTTGGCAAGAAGTGGCCCATCACAGTGTCGCAGTGGCAGTGGGAGGGGAACCCACGCGAGAGCCTCACACTGCCCCCCTCCGCCTCTCTGGCCACGTGTCACCCGTCTGTGCCCCAAGTGCTCATTCCAGTTCTATGCCTCTGGACCTCAGCTCACTGCTGTACTGCTCCCTAGAAGGCAGGGTGGGCAGATTCTGCAGCCAGTAGAGCGGGTGAAGCCTGAAGCACCAGGAGCTTGTTTTGTTTGACTTTGTTGTGGGCGACCTGGTTGCTTGTTTTGCCTGAAACTCAGTTTCTGCCAACTACAGTCTCTCTCCTCTCTCTGAAGGTAGACTGTTAGTTCCACAGTCTTGATCTCCTTCTCAGGACTCAAGCCTCCTTCTTACCACACTGAGGACCCCTCGGCCCATCCCTCCCTCCCCTCCGCCCCCACAACTCTGTACCATAGTCCCTCACTTTCAGACAGGTGGGCATGTGTCTCTCAGGCATGTTTTCTCTGAGATGTGGTTGACTTTTGGTTGTACTTCCGCAGGGAGCTTTGCTTGCCAGCGTCTATCTTACCATCTCACTCAAAGTCCTAACTGTGAGTATTTTCACATAGCTGGAGCGATAGCACAGCAGGTAGGGCGTTTGCCTTGCACGTGGCCGACCCAGGTTCGATTCTTCCGTCCTTCTCAGAGAGCCCAGCAAGCTAGTGAGAGTATCCCGACCCAGGTTCGATTCCCAGCATCCCATATGGTCCCCTGAGCACTGCTAGGAGTAATTCCTGAGTGCAGATCAAGGGATAACCCCTATGCATTGCCAGGTGTGAACCAAAAAGCAAAAAAAAAAAATAATAAGGTAATTTTATAAAAATATTGATAATTTAATCAATTAAATTGGAGAATGGAGAACAGTTGCCTCTCTAAGGTCAAATCTTCATAGCCAAGATCCTATTGTTCTTTCATTACTTAGATCGTTCTATACTGTATACTTTCTATACTGTAGCTTCTCAATTTCTCAGTTGTTTGTTTATATATTTTATTTTAATAAATTATTTTATTGAATCACTATGAGATAGACCTTTATAAAACTATTCCTGATTAGGTTTGAGTCATACAGTTTTCCAACACCTATCCCTCCACCAGTGTACATTTCCCATTACCAATGTCCCCAGACTTTTTTTAACCTGTTCTTTTGTGTTTGAAGCACAATTTATGGCTTTTTTTTTTTTGCTTTTTTGGGTCCCACCCGGCGAGGCACAGGGGTTACTCCTGGCTCTGCACTCAGGAGTTACTCCTGGCGGTGCTCAGGGGACCATATAGGATGCTGGGAATCGAACCCAGGTCAGCTGCGTGCAAGGCAAACTCCCTACCCGCTGTGCTATCTCTCCAGCCCCCATGAAGCACAATTTAAATGTTATTTTGCCTCCTCAAAATGTGTTCACTGTCATAAAATAGTCATCTTATTATCAGAAAAGTTGGTGATGTGCTAATTCTGCCTTTGTATAATTTCCAGAACTGGATATGCTAAGTTGTTTTTAAAGTTTTTCCCTAGCATAATTGATCAGGTTAAAAATCCCACATCAGCTTAATTGTTCCCGTTCTGTTTTTCAGCCTGACTGGGTTGTTTTGGACCAACCAGATGCCGCTTGCCATTTGCAGCAGCAGCAAGAACCTTCCCCTCTGCCTCCGGGATGGGAAGAGAGGCAGGATGTTCTTGGAAGGATCTACTATGTAAACCATGAATCTAGAAGAACACAGTGGAAACGACCAACTGCTCAGTATGTGCTCATGCCTTTCAAGTTTGCAACCAAGATGCATTTTGACCTCTAATTTTCATTTGAAAATCATGGCCCTAATGAATTTATAATAGTATAGCACTGGAGCACTGTCCTCCCCTTGTTCATCGATTTGCTCGTGCAGGCACAGTAACGTCTCCATTGTGAGACTTGTGATTACTGTTTTAGCATATTGAATACGTCCCAGCTTTTATACCCTGGCACTCACTTGCCAGGCTTTTAATAGTATAAGGATCCATAAACTATGAGATGCCAATCTTTATGTACTTAAACTAACCAAGACCTCCGCAGAAAAACAAAATCTTTTCCAGTGATCTTATTTTATTTTGGGTTACACTCAGCAGTGCTCCACACTAGGGGTAGCACTTCCAGGCCCATCAAGCCGGGGCTCAAGCGTGCAGAACATGTGCTCAGGCCTTGGACCCGTCTCCCTGCCAGATTCAACCTACTTTTAAATGATTTTATGGCACTGAAAATTATTTCGGTTACAAATACAATCTTTCAGCTTTTTGTAATTGCTAACTATATTTTTATTTAGCATGAGGCCACATTTTTCTCTTTCTATTTATGTATGGACCCCCATAACCATACCACCCCACCGGACTTGGCCCCAGGCTGGTCTCACTCGGGGAGCCCCAGAGGGGGGCAGGTGAGAGCCCTCCCCGCCCCAAGGGACCCAGCCCCGGAAGCCGATCACTCCCCACCGACACCACGCTCCAGGCCACTTTCCACACACTCGGGCCGAGCCTCACGTATGAGTGAACATATTCCTGGAGCGCGCACATCATAAGACACTCCCTACTCATTTTCCATAATTGCCACAGCATATTTGATGGGGTTCAGAAAGTAAGCAACAAATCATAGAGGGAAATATGATATATATATATATATATATATATATATATATATCCCTCTTGGAGAGCCCAGCAAGCTACCAAGAGTATCCCGCCCATAAGGCAGAGCCTGGCAAGCTACCCGTGATGTATTCTATATGCCGAACACAGTAACAATAATGGGTCTCATTCCCCTAACCCCAAAAGAGCCTCCAATAAGGCACCGTTGGGAAGGACGAGTAAGGACAGGCTGCTAAAATATGAGGGCTGGTAGAAAAGATGAAGTTATGAAATTTACATACAAGTGGTACTACATGGAAAGTATCATGTTAAGCGAAATGAGTCAGAAAGAGCGGGATAGACACAGAAAGATTGCATTCATCTGGGGAACATAAAGCAACAAAAAGTGAGAGTGACACACAGGAATGGCTGAGATTAGTACCAGGAATTTTGCCCCATGAATGGAAGGCCAGCCACAGGCTCTAGGTGAAAAGGAAGCTCAGATAGAGAAGAGATTACCAAATGAAGGGTGTTGTGAGGGCCCTCCCAGGGTGGGAGAAGCATGCTAAAAGTAGTCGATAGACCAAACATGATTGCCACTCAAAGCCTCTCTTGCAAAACACAGTACCCAAAAGAAGAGAGAGAGAACAAGGGGGAATACCCTGCCACAGAGGCAGGATGGGACGGGGGGGGGGGGGGGATGAGGGGGGGGGATGCTGGGACCCATGGGGATGGATGACGGGCACTGGTGGAGGTATGGGGACTTGATCATTGTATAACTGAAACCCAAGCACAAAATTTGTAAGCCTATAACTGTACCTCATGGTTTTTCACTAATAAAAAAAAAAAATATATATAAAAAAAAAAAAAAAAAAAAATATGAGGGCTGGGACGAATGGAGACATTACTGGTGCCGCCTGAATAAATCGATGAACAAAGGGATCACAGTGATACAGTGACAGTGATATTTATGTATAAAATATTAGTCTTACTATAGTTTGTTATAAAAATAAGATATCATATCCATTTCTACAGTATATTATTTATAAATAGAAGGGTTTTAATGTTAAATACCCATTTACCATGCTGATCACTATATACATAATCTCCAGCAGCACATACTAAGGACAATATGATGTTTGGAGCATCCTAATAAAATATGTATTATATATATATCAATGTATATACCCTTAGTGACAGACTTCATACATTTATAACTTCTTCCATTTATATTACCATATTTGCTTTCACTTTTGACACAAAGTCTGTGAAATCTCTCCCCTTTCACTTTTGACACAAATTTATATTTGTTCATTAACCTTTTCATTTTTGGCTTTGGTATTTTGTGTCCAAGTATGTACATAGATTATTCTCAGTTTTCATATTCTCCCATACAAATCAAAGATTTTTTGTGGCAGTCAAAGGAGTGATCTTTGTAAAATGATCTACAGATTTCCAAACCGATGATTCTATAAACACTCTGCCAATTTGCCCTATAGCTTGCGTCACTACTATGGCAAATCTGATTCAGCAGAATCGTTTTTCTTTCTTTCCAGTGATGCTACTTTTAGCTTGCCAAAATATTTGTTGGTGGGGGGGGTGGTTAGGGAGAAATCAAAGCTTTCCCCTAGAATCATCTTGCAAAATTATGTTTTTTCCAACGGCAGTACAGTAAGAACTGTCCATCTAACTGTGCTGAAATTCCATGAAATTAAATAAATTCACAGTAATTTTATTATTAGCTATTTGTATAAAGGTAAAGGCCCTCCCGTTGATCGTCGATTTGCTCGAGCGGGCCCAGTAACGTCTCCATTGGAGACTTTGTTGTTACTGTGTCTGGCATATCGAATACTCTCGGTAGCTTGCCGGGCTCTCCGAGAGGGGCGGAGGAATCGAACTCGGGTCGGCCATGTTGGCCGCTTGTAAGGCGAACGCCCTACCCGCTGTGCTATCGCTCCAGCTATTTGTATAAAACTCTAGATATAAGGTAGGTTATGTTAAAGTTTAGCTAGCCGGAAAAATGTAACATAAATAATAGGGGTAAGCGTGCTTAATCTGATGCACTGCACCTTCCCTAAGCTTAGATATACCTTTATTATTATTATTATTAGTAGTAGTAGTAGTAGTATACTTTTAGGTCCATTAATATAAAAGTCTGAAAAAAGATGCCATTTAATCATTACTCTATTCATAGTTTAACTATAATTTCTTTATGCTGTATTTAATTCATGGAAAACTCTTCTAGCTGAAGACCAAATCTAGAAATATACTATGACTGATATGTATGTATAACTTTAAAATTTCCATTATGATCTTTCTAGAGCTACTTTGATTGTACTCTTGTAACAAAATAGAAGAATAAATACCATTTTAATTTATGAAACTCTCAGATATCCATTCAGCAAGTATTTCTGAGTGTCCCTGTTGCAGGGCATTATCCTAGGGGGCTGGAGCAATAGCACAGTGGGTAGGGCGTTTGCCTTGCATGCGGCCAACCTGGGTTTGATTCCTCCACTCCTCTTGGAGAGCCCGGCAAGCTACCAAGAGTATCCCGCCCCCACGGCAGAGCCTGGCAAGCTTCCCATGGCATATTCCATATGCCAAAAACAGTAACAACAAGTCTCACAATGGGGACATTACTGGTTCCTGCTCAAGCAAATCGATGAACAATGGGGAGATAGTGCTACAGTGATGAATTAAAATATCAGTCAGGCATCTTATACTTTTTCACAAAAGCTTTTACCTCTATGTAGGTACTCTGGAGGTGCCCACCAATTAATTTTTGCATGTTGAAATAGTCTTGCCCAAAACAGTAAATTCTGGTTTAATAGGTATGTATTTGTGTATGTGTGCATGTGCCTGTGTGTGTGTGTGTGTGTGTGTGTGTGTGTGTGTGTTGTGTGTGTTTCTGGCCACACCCAGCAGTGCTCATGGCTTATTTCTCACTCTGTGCTTGGGGACCACTCCTGGGACTAGTCAGGGAATCATATGCAGTGCCTCAGGTAGAACTGGGCTTAGCTGGGTGTGAAGCTAGTGCCCTACTATTTCTAACCCTTGTTATGAGTATATATTTTGAAACGATGACAGAATCTTTGACTGTCGTCTTCAGTGTCAAGATGTTGGTGATGCCTCTTATGTTTCTGACACAGGGACAGCTTAACAGACGCCGAGGACAACAACATTCAGCTGCAAGCACAGCACGCCTTTACGACACGGAGACAGATCTCTGAGGAAACAGAAAGTGGCGACAACCGAGAGTCTTCAGAGGTAGCTATAACTGCCTTTTCTTCACTGAAAGAAGCATATTCTGGCTGTTGATGAAAGCATGCTTGACTGAAGCTTATTCTGTTCATCTTAGAGCTGGGAAATTATAAGAGAAGATGAAGCTGCCATGTACAGCAATCAGACCTTCCTCTCGCCTCCGCCGTCCATGAACTTGGATGTTCAGACTCAACTTGCAGAAGATTTGAATGGCAGATTCGTGATCTGTGGGAATTTGACCACCAGCCAGCCAGTATCCAGCTCAGTAAGATGCTCTTCGGTTTTTGTGGCAGCTGCAGGATTATGACCTACATATTATTCCATTCAGTAACTAATTCAGTAACTAATTTTTATGTAAGAGTTTATCTTACTGGTGCTAGAGAGATGCACAGCGGGTAGGGCATTTGCCTTGCACATGGCCGACCCAGGTTCGATTCCCAGCATCCCACATTGTCCCCTGAGCACCGCCAGGAGTAACTCCTGAGTGCAAAGCCAGGAGTAACCCCTGTGCATCGCCGGGTGTCACCCAAAAAGCAAAAAAAAAAAAAGAGTTTATCTTACATTGCATGCAATAGCGTGTCAGGGACACGAAGACTTCGGCTCATTTTTCAGATATTCCTGAGTCGCGTGTAACCTACATGGTCACTGGACCAGAAATATCCATCATGCAATCTGTGCCTTCCACTCAACACCAGCAGCAGCACGCCAGGATTTGAATAGACTTGGCTTATTATTCTTCCTAGCAGGGAGGACACACCACAAGAGACTCTGCACAGGCAGGTTGGGAAAGACCTCATGTGTTTGGGTTCATATTTGAAGGTTGGGCTGGAGCAATAGCACAGTGGGTAGAGCATTTGCCTTGCACATGGCCGACCCGGGTTCGATTCCCAGCATCCCATATGGTCCCCCAAGCACCGCCAGCAGTAATTCCTGAGTGCAGAGCCAGGAGTAACCCCTGAGCATTGCCGGATGTGACCCGAAAAGCAAAAAAATAAAGTAATGATTAGTTCAAAGGCAGCTGTCATTCACGTGGGCCCAGACAGGCACCTCCTATGATTTGTTGGTCTGTAGCTGGGGCCCTGCTCACATTTTGTTTGTGTTCAGGCACAGCCACTGAGTGGCCTAGCCTTTGCCTCCATCCTACCTGGGAGCCCGACTGCGATCAGAGCCTGAAACTCAGGAGCTGCTTTCCTCCTCTCGGTTAGGCCCGAGAGGTCAGCAGCACCTGTGCATCAGCAGTGAGTAAGAGCTGATGTGCCCAACTTCGATTCCTCTGCCCCTCTCAGACAGCCCGGCAAGCTACTGAGACTATCTCGCCCACATGGCAAGCTCCCCGTGGCATATTCGATATGCCAAACACAGTAACAGCAAGTCTCACAATGGAGACGTTACTGGAGCCCGTTCGAGCAAATCGATGAACAATGGGAGGACAGTGCTACGATGCCCAACTTAGCCAGGGAGCGGGATGGCACTGTGAATACCGCTCTCCTTGGAGCTGGCATTCCCACACATGGCTGCCGTGACCAGATCTCTGTGCTCATCCCTAATCTGTATTACCAAAAGGAGACTGCAAGGACAGACAGATGCTCTTCTCTGAAGTTGCTGTGTCATTCCTTGCTGCCCTTACCCAGGTCATTAAGTCATTAGTGAGACCCAATGACAGAACAGTGTGCATAATAGGTTGCCATGTATGTAAGTTACTTTGATGACAGCAAAAACTATTTCATGAGGGCTAAATTGCTCAGCTTAAAAGAGAAGAAAAGGGTCAATGGGATTTGTTGTTTTTGTACCTTTTAAGTTTCACCGTCCTTGGTGTGACTTCCATATGGCTCCCTGAGTCCCGCCAGAAGTGATCGCTGGCACAGTAAGCCTTGAGCACTGCCAGGTGTGGTCCAGAACCAAACAAAAAGATATCCATTTATTATTAAGCAGAATTGTCTAGTCATGGTTTAGAATTTAAGCAGTATTGAGGAAATGGGAAGGAAAAGAAATTGCCTGTCTTACCCATCTGCTCTGTTGGTCATTGGTAGTGGTTTGCATTTGTTGTGCTAAACATTTTCTTGGTATCTATAAACCTGCCTGCACATACATCTGTTCATATATTGCCATTTGGTCTGAGGTCATTTTAGACATACTTTTCGGTGACTTTTTTCATTAACTATAGCCTCAGCACTGGAACATTTTAGTTAAAATAGATATACTCCTAAAACCATCAAGCACAAAACTCATCACAATGGTGGTTCCATTGTGCAGGTAACTCTAAAATATTTCACCAGTCTTCCCTTGCCGCATCCTAGATTATCTGTAATAAAGCAAGCTTTACTGTAGACAATGCCATAAGGTCTCTTTTGGTTTCATTTATCTTAAAAAATTTGATGTCAAAACCCAAATAGTTAAGTAGTGACAATAGTGTGCAGAGAAAAATCCGAGACAAGAAAGAATATGGAACTTCCAGGAATGAGGTTGTCTGGAAGACCCAGGGGGGTAGCTTGTGGGGTGGGGAGTGGCTGGAGATCACCCAGCAGCATTCTGAGCCATGAAGTTCATCCTAGCAGCTCACAGAAGTCACTCAGGGCTATGAACTGCAGCATGCTGGGCTGGGGCCATGTGCTTTCCGACCACTGCACCCAGGATGCCTACCCAGGCATGGACACTTGGAGCGGGGAGATCTGTGACGCCATTGCAGCAATAAAAGCAAGATCCGGAGAACACTTGGAATGAACAGTGGCTAGCGCTGTCTGTGAATGCTTGAACCTGCAGGGCCCAGGGAAGGACAGGATGTGGCAGGACAGGGCTAGTGACTCAGTTGCGTCCTCTGGAAGGAAGAATTGGGAAGCTGCTGTAGTTAGAAGACTGGGAGACAAAGAGAAACTGAATCCAGTGTGTAGCACAACGAGCGAGTTCTATTAGACGTTCAAGAGTGTCCCAGAAGAGCTCCAGAAGCAGGGTGGGGGTGGGGGTGGGTGAGATAGAAGAACCGGAAGTCATGTTGGAAAGTCATGTTGGTGGAAAGTGCACTGGTGAAGGGATGGGTGTTCAACCAACATGTAAGCAGATTTTGGTTTCCCTAGCCCTGTACCTAGGGAGTCACTCCCGATGGGGCTTTGGGGACCATGGGAGGTGCTGGGGATCCAACTCAGGGTCAGTCACGTGCAAGGTCAGTCAGTCACCTTCCAGATCACTCCTGACAGGACTTTGGGGTCCTTATGGGATTCCGGGGATCGAACTCAGAGTCAGTCACACACAAACAAGGCAAGTGCCTCCCCCCTTCTCTGTGGTCCCAGCATCCTTCTTTATCCTTTACTGGACACCGAAAATCAGATGGGGTGTTCCTGCTTTACGCACAAGTCTGCTGGGTGAGGCCCCCACACCGCGGGGCGGCGGGGGGAGGGGGGGAGGTCTTCGAGCCTAAAGCTATTTTTGTTCCTTTCTCTTTCTGACAAGAATCGCCCCAGCAGGAGAGGCAGCTTCCAGGCCTGTGTCTTTCAGGAGCAGCCAGCACTCCCAGTGGTGAGTCCCACCTCCTCCCATCAGTCCCACAGGTGAATGTGGGAATAGCTGTTTCCCTTGAACACTGTCAGTGACCGTCGAACCACTGAGCCGAGAGTGCACAGAGGCAGCCCAGTATCTTGGCTCTCTGGTTTGTTTTGTTTGCTGGCCACACCTGGCCATGCTCAGAAGCTCCTCCTGCTTCAGTGCTTAGGGGGACACTCCTGGGGGTGCTGAGCAGGAATCAAGACCTTCCTGGGTCCAAAGCATGCACTCAGCTCTCTCTTTCTCTCTCCCTCCCTTCCTTCCTTCTCCCTCTTTCTCTCTCTCTCCCTCTCTCCTTCTCTCTCTCTTTCTCTCTCTCTTCCTCTCTCCTTCTCTCTCTCTTTCTCTCTCTCTCCCCACCCCCACCCCCAGAATTTAGACTGTAGAGACAGAGGCTCAAGGGAAATGTAGTAGTCTTTTTTTTTATTAGTGAGACATATGAGGTACAGTTGTAAGCTTACAAATTTTTGTGCTTGAGTTTCAATTATACAATGATCAAATGCCCATCCCTCCACCAGTGCCCATTTCCCACCACCATGGATCCCAGTATCCCTCCCACCCCCCATCCCCCCCATCCCACTCTGCCTCTGTGGCAGGGCATTCCCTTTTGTTCTCTCTTATTGGGTGTTGTGGTTTGCAAAAGAGGCAATGGGTGACAATCATGTTTGGGCTATAGTCTACTTTTAGCATGCTTCTCCCATCCTGGGAGGATCCTCCCAACACCCTTTATTTGGTGCTCCCTTCTCTATCTGAGCTCCCTTTTCCCCTAGCATGTCTGGCTGGCCTCCAAGCCATGGAGTAAAATTTGTAGTAGTCTTTTTAAAAATAAAAAATGGGTGGTAAAAGGAGAGAGAATAAAAAGAAATGCCCTGCCGCTGAGGTGGGGTGGGGTGGGGTGGTGGGGGATGGGGTGGGGGTGGTGGGAGGGATGCTGGAAACAACGGGTGGGAGAGAATGCACGGTGGAGGGATGAGTAAACGATATCATATGACTCTCATGCAAACACGAAAGTTCGTGTAAGTTTGTAACTACCCCACAGTGATTCGCTAATAAAAATTAATTAATTAACACAACAATGTAGGTGATTGAAAAGAATAAAAAAAAATTGGGGTGGAGGGTTGAAGAGATAATACAGCAGGTAGGATGCTTGTCTTGCACACAGCTGACCGATTTTAACCCCTGGCATCCCATATGGTCCCCTGAACACCACCAGAAGTGATCCCTGAGCACAGAGCCAGAACTGAGCCCCGAGCATCGCCGGGTGTGGGCCCCAAACAAACAAGAACTAAAATCAAGGAGGGTCAGGCCTGCCAGGCAGTGCTCAGGGAGGCAGGACCCAGGGATCCTTCTGACGATATTTGAGCCAGCAGGCCAGATACGTGGGCACAGAGAAGCTGCCCAAACGCTGCACTGCCAGGACTCACCAGGGCCACCCCAACATGCTTAGGGGTGATTGGGTCCCTAGAATTTGGTTTGCTCTGTAAGGGAGCTGGGGGCTCTGGACCCATTTTTCTGGGGAAGGATATGTGCTGGCTGGCACGGGGTCCTCTCAGGCATGACCGGGACTGGGACACGAAGTGCAGATTGTCCTGCAGTAGGTCCTGCTTCATCCATGCAGTGCCACCTCAGGGCAGACACCTAAGGCCGATGACCCCCCCTCCTGCCCCAAACCCACCAGCCTTTCTTTTTATTTTATTTTATTTTTTATTATTTTATTGAATCACCGTGAGATACAGTTAAAAAGCTCTCATGTTTGAGATTCAGCCATATTATGATCGAACACCCATCCCTCCATCAGTGCACGCTTTCCACCACCGATGTCCCCAGTATCCCCTTCCCTCATCCCAGTCCTTACCCTGCCTCTATGGCAGACAGTTTCCCCAATGCTCCCTCTGCTTTTGGGAATTATGTTTTTCCCGCCACCATTCAAGCCTGCCTGCCCAGGGCAGCACTGTAGCACTGTCCTCCCATTGTTCATTCATTTGCTCGAGCGAGCACCAGTGACGTCTCCATTGTGAGACCTGTTGTTACTGTGTTTGGCATATCGAATACACCACGGGGAGCTTGCCAGGCTCTGCCGTGCGGGCTGGATACTCCGGGTAGCTTACCAGGCTCTCCAAGAGGGACAGAGGAATTGAACCCAGGTTGGCCATGTGCAAGGCAAATGCGTACCTGCTGTTCTCCAGCGCCAGGGGCAGAAGCTAGATAATTTATTTTCCATTGCTCATTTTGAATATCATGAGAATTCTGGGATCCTAGATTGTAGATGGTTGGATTCCAAAGACATCTCTGTAGGGCACTAATCTATTTGGGATTCAGTTGGGAGTCTCTGGAGCACTGCTGTTGGTGCACCGAGATGGCACCTGGCAGAAGCTTGTGGGCATGACAGCTGGGCCATGGAGTGGGCGGGGAGCCAGAAAGGGACCGCCTGGCACCTCTGATGCCATGCGGCCTGGAGATTCAGCCCTGGAACCCACGTTCCTGGGCCTTGCTTATGGAAGCTCTTGGACGCCAGGGTTCCATGTGGAGTAGGCGGGGAGACTGCACCTGCTCCACCTGGGGTGCCCTGGTGATATTGGCTCAGTTTGAGGCCCGGAGGTTGTCTCTGGTGCTGAGGTGCTGTCCAGGACTAGTTGCTGCATCTCAGGACCAGGGCTGTCGGTGCGCCAAGATCCCACCAGCCTTTTCTTGGATGGATCTGAATCCCAAACTTCCGGCCTGGACATTGGGTTTTTTTTTTTTTCAAATCACATTTTTTTATTGAGGCACCGATATTGGGGCTGAAGCATTAATAGTACAGCAGGTAGAATGCCTGCCTTGCATTTGGCCGACCCAGGTTTGATCCCCAGCATCCCAAATGGTCCCCTGAGCACTACCAGGAGTGATCCCTGAGCGCAGAGACAGGAGTAGCCCTTTGCTTACAAAGTTGCCCATAATAGAGTTTGAGATATACACTGTCCCAACACTAATCCCCCACCAGTGTCCACTTCTCTCCAGTCAGTGACCGCAGGCCCCTCCCACCCCGACCTGCTTCCTTGCAGGCACACTTTTTTGTTTGTTTGTCTTAGGGTTACCCTCAGGTGTGTTCAGGGGCTGTTCCTGTCTCTGCGTTCAGGGATCACTCCTGGGAGTGCTCAGGGGACCATTTGGGATGCTGGGGATCAAACCTGGGTGAGCCAAATGCAAGGCAGGCATTCTACCTGCTGTACTATTAATGCTTCAACCCCAACAGGTACATTTTTAAGTTGGGCTGTTGTCACTTGTATCTCCTGCTTGCTTACAGTGCTGGTGGGTCTGTGGTTTGGACATGAAAATACCCCACACCTCTGCCCCTCCTAGGTGCTCAAGGTCCCTGAATCCTATCCTACTTTCTCCATTCTTCCTCTTCATATCCCTCACTTCTCTCCTTCCCTGCCCTTCGTGTTTCCATTGTCTAGGGTCAAGGATAACCTAGGTATGACCCTTTGGGACCTGGCATCCTCTTGACCTGTTACTCTGTATAGCCCAGAGAGTGACATCATCTGGTGCTTTTGCTTTCTGCACACACAGAAACGCTCACTGTCTTCATTTCTCTCTGCCTTTCTTCCAGACAGCTGCCCTAACCCCCCCCCCCTCCACCTCTTCCTCCTCTGTGGGCTCCATTTCCCCATTTGGAATTTCCTCCTGTTCTTTCGTGGGTTGGTTGGTTGGTTTGATCTGTTTTGAATCAAAACACTCAGGAATCACTCCTGGCTGTGCTCAGGGAACCATCTGGGATTCCGGGGATCGAACCTGAGTCAATGACTTGCACCCCATCTGCTGTGCTGTTACTCCAGCCTTCATGTTTGTTTGGTTTATTTTATTTTATTTTGTTGTTACTGGTGTTGGCTGGAGCGATAACACAGCAGGTAGGGCTCGCACATGGCTGACCCGGGTTCAGTTCCTTCGTCTCTCTCAGAGAGCCTGGCAAGCTACCGAGAGTATCCTGTCCTCACGGCAGAGCCTGGCAAGCTCCCCGTGGTGTATTCGATATGCCAAAAACAGTAACAACAATTCTCACAGTGGAGATGTTACTGGTGCCCACTCGAGCAAATTTCTAAACAACAGGTGGACAGTGCTACAGTGCTTTGTTGTTCTTGTTTGGTTTTTCAATAGTGCATTTGTCATTTTGAATGACAGGCAGACTACACTGATTTTGGGAAGTGGAACTTGTTGCTTGTAGAGAAGTTCTAGCAAAGGGAAGCAAGCTTGGACTTCCTCCCTCTGCCGTTGCACGTCGACCAAAGTGACAGGTGTGCCCGAGAGGGGCACGAGCACCTGTTCTCACCCCCTGCGTTGTGTTTAGCAAAGCATGACCCTCCCCTGCCTTCCTCTCACTTCCTGCCACTTCTCCAGCCTCTTCCGACCCGTGATGGTTCCCCATGGGGCCTCGTAATGTCTTCCACATATTGAAAATGTTGGATTTCTAGTCAGCTGATACCCATTCAACCATGAAAAGGAGTTTAAAGCACACCAGGTCACCAGCAGCATCTGCAGATGATTTCTGTGTTATGTAGCTAGAAAAGACACTTTCCTGCCATTTCTTCTCTATTATCTATTGATTTTAAAATGTTTTATGACTTTCCTGTATGATTTACACATCGTCAAGTACAACCATCCCTAAGCATACATAAGAAGCTGGGAAGAGAGTACAGCAGCCATGATGCTTGCTTTGCATGCAGTCAGTCCAGGTTTGATCCCTGGTCCCACCGATGGTCCCTGAGCACAGAGGCAGGTTGATCCCTGATCCCTGAGCCTGCCTAATATGGCCCACACCTCTGCAAAGGAGTGAGTTTTAGTAACTATGAATAGTTTTGCATCATCATCATCATTAAGAACCCTCCCATTACCCCAGAAGAGATCCTTTAAGGCCCTCGAGTTTTCTTAGCGCTGGAGAATAAGAAGGAAAAAGAGGAGGAAGAGGAGGGAGAAGTTTAGGTTTTCTAATGTAGGTTCCTCAAATGTAAACTGAAGCAGTAGTGTTTGTCTCAGTAAGCTCTGTGTGAGGGTAAGTGACTTGACCCATGTTAAATGTGAAGAGTACTGGATGTGATATCGATCATGTTCTGTTGCTGTTATCACTCACAGCATTTGTTGTCTGCTCTCCTGGTTGTGTATTTAGTGAATTTGTGTGCAAACTTTTAGTGAATTTTTTTCATATGCTATTTAAAATGAGGAAATATATATATGTATATATATATATATATATATATATATATATATATCGGAGAGCCTGGCAAGCTACTGAGAGTATCCTGCCCGCATGGCAGAGTCTGGCAAGCTACCCGTGGTGTGTTTAATGTGCCAAAAACAGTAACAATAATGGGTCTCATTCAGGAAAGACAAGGAAGGAGAGGTTCTAAAATCTCAGGGCTGGGATGAATATAGACGTTACTGGTGCCCACTCAAGTAAATTGATGAACAATGGGATGATAGTGATACAGTGATACAGTGATTTAAAATGTGCTTTGAGAAGGGGTTGTTCCCAAGTGGTATTCAAGGACTGTCAGGGCTACTCCTGGCAGTATTTGGCCAATCAGACCTGTGGCTCAGTGCAAAGGCCTGAGGGTTCACTGGTACTCAGGCTCTGTGGCATAAGAACCACCCAGTGCGACACACCCAGTGATGCTCAAACACCATGTACTGTGGGAGCCAAAGCAGGGTCGAGCACATGCAAGGCAAGCGGCAAGTCCCGTACCGTCTCCAGGGCCCTTAACGTCAGGTTTGTTTTTAAAGAACCTAGCAGCAAAGTTGCCATCTAGAACTTTTCAAAAGAAATCTCTTCCTAACATTTCACCCTCCTTTTACTCTTTAGCTTCTGCCAACTTCATCTGGATTGCCACCAGGTTGGGAAGAAAAACAAGATGAGAGAGGAAGGCCGTACTACGTGGACCACAATTCCAGAACGACCACCTGGACAAAGCCTGCTGTGCAGGTATCTGGGCTGTCACTCTGGACATCAAGTCCTGCCTCCCGCCAGATTCCCAGATTTACCCGGGAAGCCGCAAGAACACTTGACTGCAGTCTCCACTCACTGCTTCTAGCTTTTAATTGTTTCTGACATTGCTGCTAAGTGTCTGCCTTCGCTGGTGGACAACTAATCCCTCTTGTTGTGGGAAACGTTTCCACATGGGAATAAGATGACAAAGTAATGATCTAGCCACTAGATGATTTTTAAACTGAAGGGTTGGAGTTTTCATTTTCCTTCAAGGTAATCTCAAGGATGAGTATCTATTAAAGAGATCTGTTATGATGACACTTTGTCCCTGGAGGCAGATGTTATTTTTGTAATACTCATCTCTAGGCATTTCATTTTCAGACACAAGGTATCACAGGAGTTGGGGGTGTGGCTCATACAGGAGAACATTCGAGGCCCGTGTTTGCTCCCAGGTGGCGTGTGCTCCCACGCAGAGATGAGTCCCTGGCCCCAAGCACCAGAACCACCACCACAATGCAATAGCTCTGCAGTACTGTCCTAGTAACGTCTCCATTGTGAGACTTGTTGTTACTGTTTTGGGCATAGAATACTCCACGGTGAGCTTGCCAGGCTCTGCTGTGCAGGCTGGATACTCTCAGTAGCTTGCTGGGCTCTCCAAGAGGGACAGAAGAATTGAACCCGGGTCGACCGCCTGCAAGGCAAACACCCTACCCGCTGTACTATCTGTCCAGCCCCAAGAGGAATTAGCTCTTAATAGTTAATTACAAAACATTAATTCCAAGGTATAAATTTAGAAAAACATAGAGAGTTATCATGAGATTTTTTTTTCTTTAAAGTCACAATGCAATGACGACATAAAAATTCAAAGTAAATCTTACACCCCTCTCGTATGCGGGATGTAAAGAAACAGAATGGTGAGATGATGAATACCCAAAGACAATGGAAGCAAAGAACATGAGAACAAGTCTTTAATAGGAAACACGCCACTCGGGGGGCCAGGGGAGGGCAACAAACACAGTGGAGGAGAGTGTTTAACCAGGAAGAGGAGGCGTTGTTCAAAGGTATTGTGTGTGAAACCCCATCGGCAACAGTATGGTAAACCACATGTATAAAAGAACATGTATTAAAGAAGTGCCTCAGAGCCTGAGTGATCGCACAATGGGGAGGGCGTTTGCCTTGCACGCGGCTGACCTGGGTTCGATTCCCAGCATCCCATAGGGTCCCCCTGAGCACCACCAGGAGTCATTCCTGAGTACAGAGCCAGGAGCAACCCCTGAGCAGCGCCAGGTGTGACCCAAAAGACAAAAAAAAAAATGTTGGTGTAGGGCCTTGAGACCTTGTATGCCTGCAACCCAACCATGAATATTTTGTGATTTCATAGTGACTAAATAAAAAAAAAAATTAGGTAGGTCTTACAGGTAAAACTCCATTCCTTTTAACCAAATGTTTCCCACCTCACTGTCTTGTCCCAGGTCCCAGCGGGCCGGGGTACGTCTGCAGCCCCACAACCAGCAACTTCCACCCGGGACCCCACCCCGCCGGGCACCCAGGCTGCCGAGCACGAGCACCACTCCCTGCCCAGCGGATGGGAGGTCCGGCATGCAGCTAACGGGAGGCCTTTCTTTATCGATCACAACACCAAGACCACCACCTGGGTAACTCTCTGCATTCCAGTTTTGGTCCCACACTGCGTCTTGTCTTTTGGCGTGCGTCGTTCATTTAAAGACATGTTGGGTGGCTAATAGTGCACTTTCTACTCAGGGCCTGTTTGTGCCTGCCTCAGTGTTTGGGGACATGTGAAAAAGGTGGTGTTCAGTGCGTATTTCCAGATTTTAGATCAATGCTTAGGAAGACATGGAGTAATAATAACCCTTTATCTGGCTGTGTGGGCTGGAGTGATAGCACAGCGGGTAGGATGTTTGCCTTGCATGCGGCCGACCCGGGTTCGATTCCTCCGCCCCTCTCAGAGATTCTGGCAAGCTACCAAGAGTATCCCGCCCACACAGCAGAGCCTGGCAAGCTCCCGATGGCGTATTCCATATGCCAAACACAGTAACAACAAGTCTCACAATGAAGACATTACTGGTGCCTGCTCGATGCTGGAGCAAATCAGTGAACAGTGGGAGGATAGTGCTACGGTGCTACATCTGGCTGTGATGCATTTATAGTTTTGACTTTTTTTAACGTTGGCTTTGGTTTTTCATGTGCCCAGCAATGCTCAGGGTTGCTTTTGGGTTGGGGCTGCAGCGTGAGGCACGGTCCTGGCTGCGTAGAACATGGGACCATGAGCTGAACCCAGCCACCCCCCCACACACACACCCCTCCCTCCCCCGCAAGGCCGGCGCCCAGCCTTTTCAGCCGTCTTCTGGCCTCCAGAGCTTTTCTGAATCCACATCTTATTTAATATTCAGAGGACTTTGTGAGACTAGGTTGAAGAATTAGTTCTATTTTAGGATAAAGTAAATCTCACATAACCTTGATATAATTATAAATCACCTTAGCTCAATAATTAATCTTAAATCATTAAATAGCCTTGATAGAATCTTGAATGCACTGCAGCACTGTCCTCCCATTGTTCATCGATTTGCTTGAGCGGGTACCAGTAATGTCTCCATTTTGAGACCTGTTGTTACTGTATTTGGCATACTGAATATACCACAGGGAGCTTGCCACTCTCGGTAGCTTGCGGGGCTCTCGAGAGGGACAGAAGAATCAAACCCGGGTCAGCCGCGAGCAAGGATAGCCCTACCCGCTGTGCTGTCGCTCTAGCCCAGAATCTTGAATAATCTTGATAAAACAAATCAGTTGGTCCTTTACTAAATGATACGTTTCTGAAAATCACTAACACCTGGATAGTTTTGAATACTGTAGCTTTAACTCTAAAAGGCCCATGTTCCTAAATAAAGCTCACATAGGGCCAGAGAGATAGTGCAGGAGGGAAGGCACCAGCCTTGCATGAGGCTGCTCTAGTCAGTCACAAAGTTTAATTCTCAGTACCACATCTGATCCCTGAGCACTGCTAAGAGTGACCTCTGAGCACAAAACCACTGCCCATCGGGGCTCAGAATGAAAGAGAACGATATCTCTTTGTGGCTGGAGAGATCACACCAGCATTACGGTGCTTGCCTCAAATGCAGCTGACCCCAGTTCAATCCTAGCCATAACATACGGTCTCTCAAAGTTTAATAAAGTAATTCAATAAAATGTTTTCATATATATAAATTCCAATCCAAATAAATTTCCTTGTGTCTTTTTTTTAACAATTTGAAGTGAAGCCAGTCACCTTTTGAAGCTATCTTTCAAAATAGTGCTAAAACAGCGCTATAATACACTATAATAGGAGCCAGGGAGACATATAGGCAGTCGGAAGTAGAATGCGGGCTTCTCATCCCAGGCTTCAGCAGCTTTGTATTAAGGAAGAGCCCTTGGCAGTGACATGGCCCCTATAAAGGGAACGGACACTCTGCGTGGTTGTGTGTGAGAAAACATAGATTAATCCGTTCAGGGGCAGAGGGAAAGTGTAGCAAGCAGGTAGGACGCTTGCCTTGCATACAGCTGACCAGACCCCCAGTGGACCCTATGGCACCCTGGAGTGATTCTTGAGCAAGCCCCGAGCACTCCCAGGTATGGCCATATGCAAAAATATAAAGGTAAGTATCATGTTAAGTGAAATGAGTCAGAAAGAGAGGGACAGGCATAGAAAGATTGCACTCATCTGTGGAATATAAAGTAACAGAATGGGAGACTAACACCCAAGAGTAGTAGAGATGAGGACCAGAAGGTCTGCTCCACAGCTTGGAAACCGGCTTCATGCAGAGGGAAAAGGCAGCTCAGATAGAGAAGGGAACACCAAGTAAAGGGTGTTGGGCGGACCTATTTGGGTTGAAAGATACATGCCGAAAGTAGACTATAGACTGAACACAATGGCCACTCAATACCTCTGTTGCAAACCACAATACCCAAAAGGAGAGAGAATAAAAGGGAATGTCCTGCTGCTGAGGCGGCCTGGGGTGGTGGGGGATGGGGTGGGGATGGTGGGAGGGATGCTGGAAACATTGGTGGGGGGAGAATGGGCACTGGTGGAAGGATGGGTAAACGATCGTTGTATGACTGTAATGCAAACACGAAAGTTTGAAAGTTCGTAACTGTACCCCACGGTGATTCACTAATAAAAATAAATAAATTTTAAAAATAAATAAAAATATAGAAATAAAATAATAGATTATCTGATAATGTACACAGCTGCTTCTCTGCAACTGGCTATTGTAGCATGAGCTGGATTGTTTTACTCTTTTTCACATTATTTCTATTTCATCATGTTTGTGATGAAACATGATGGAACATTCTTCATTACTCTTGTAGAAAGAAAAACTCGGAGTGCACAGGTCAGGCAAATGAAATCAAAGTAGACCGTTAAAGTACTTTTAAATATTTGTTGATCTTAGAAAAATCATTTTAAAATGGGGGTGTTTGTGTGTTTCTTTGCTTTCTCTGCCTAAAAAAAAAGGAAGATCCAAGACTGAAAACCCCAGCCCAGCTGAGAGGAAGAAACCCGCCTGATTCCTCAAATGACCCGGCGCCCTTACCTGTAAGTCACCACTGCTTTTCCAATCTGGTTGGACTCTCATGTCTTTTTTGGAATAGAGTGGTTCTTTAACAACTGTAATTAATATTTGTTGTTTGGTTTGGGGGCCACCCCAGTTCAGTTTGGGGCTTCTCCTGACTCTGTGCTCAGAGGTCACTCCTGGCGGTGCCGGGGTTCCTAACATGTACTCAGACCCTTGGGCCATCTCTGGCCCTTAATATTATACCTTGGAGGTGGGCTCTCAGTGCATGATCAGGGGATTCAGGGGCAAATCAGTTGATGCCTTGCAGTACCAGGAGTCGCCTGAGGCCACCAAGACTACACTAGTCTTTGTTGGGGGACCATGTGGTGCCAGGGATCTAACTTGGATAGACTGCATGCATGGCAAGAGCCTTAACCCCGGTGTTATTTTTTCAGCCTCTATCATTGTACTTTATGTATTATTCTTAATGTGCTACTGCCTTCTACTCAGCATAGAATATGCAAATCCCACCAGCAGTATCAGCAATGCCAGCACTCTACCTCTGCCTCTAAACCCCATTTTTAGGGGCTGGAGCAATAGCACAGCAGGTAGGGCATTTGCCATGCACGCGGCCAACCCAGGTTTGATTCCCAGCATCCTACATGGTCCCTCGAGCACTGCCAGGAGTTATTCCTGAGTGCAGAGCCAGGAGTAACCCCTGAGCATCACCGGGTGTGACCCAAAAAGCAATAATAATAAATTTTAAAAATAATAAAATAAAACCCTTTTAAAAAATTCAACTCTGTTCTCCATTACAGCCAGGCTGGGAAGAAAGAACTCACACAGATGGAAGAATCTTCTACATAAATCACAGTATGTGTAGCGAAACTTTTTTTTTTTTGCTCGCATATGATATGCTGGAATTCTGAATATCGTCCTTGAGAATAAAGTGTGATTTTTGGTCTCTCTCTTCAGATATAAAAAGGACTCAATGGGAAGATCCTCGGTTGCACAATGTACAAATAACTGGACCAGTAAGTGTCCTCTGGTCTGAGTGAGAGTGAATGGTTTGATGGTTTGGACATGACGCTTGGCCCTCCTGTGCAGGTCACAGCAGTGCTGGGGGTCAGGTGAGGGCCAACAGAGCCCAGGGCCTGTCCTAAATTTGGATGAAATCACTCAGTTCCTGGCCTAGACTCTCAGTGTGCATTTCTCTAAGCCTGGTGTTGACACTGCTATGAAGTCTGGCTGACGACGTGAAAATCGTCATTTCATTTTACTGTTTCTGTTTTTATATTCCATGTTTTAAATAGTTTCTTAGTCACAAAAGTATGTGAAATGGGGCCCAGAACGGTAGTATAGCAGGGAACTGCCTTTACCTTGAACGCAGCTAACCTCAGTTCAGTTCCCTGCATCCCATATGGTCCCCCAAACCCTGCCAGCAGTAATTCCTGAGCACTGCTGGGTGTGTCTCCCCTCAAAAAGTGAAATGACACAGTTTTTAAGATTTTTTTTATCTCAATGTTTAAAATAGTGAATACAAAAAAATCTTTTAACAGAATGGATTAAAAAGGCAACTTCACAAGAGTTTAAGGAAAAGGACATTTTTCAAATTGTTCCCTCAGTGGAGAAATCCCTTTGAAAGTCTCTTTAGAAATGGAAATTTTTCTTTCTAATATTTTTCTGCTTGGAAGAAATTTCCTGTTTCTGGCAAGTTGCGTTTCAGGAATACTGAATGATGAAAATTACAGCCATAGGAGTTGCTAAGTAGGATTTTATTTTAACCAGAAAAATTAAAAATTTTCAAGTTTTATTAGTTTTTTTCTAATTAAACCTTCCTTTCCTAATCTTCTCTGTTTACGATTTGAACTCTTGTTTGTGAATACCCAGAGGTTTTACTTTTTTAATTGTTCCAGAATAAAAACCAAAATCTATCTGTTTCTTTATTTTTCCCAAATTTCCAACTCAAGGCAGTGCCATACTCCAGGGATTACAAAAGAAAGTATGAATTCTTCCGAAGAAAGCTGAAGAAGCAGGTTAGTGACAGTTACAGTAAATACTGAGGACGGTTTTTATAAAGACTGAAAATAATGAAAAATACATTTTAAGAATAGAGAATGAACTCTATGTTGTAATAACTTTAGTAGTTTTTTATAGGAAAAGAATGCTTAATTTTTGAGTAGCTTTTTCTTTCATTATAAAATATGATTTTTTAAAACAATGTGTCAAGGCCCAGGAGATAGCAGAGCAGGTAAGGCAATTGCCCTGGTTCATTCTCTGCATCCCTTACAATCTCCTGAACAATCATTTACAATAACTCCCACCAGGAGTGATCCCTGAGTGAAGGACCAGGAGTAAACCCTGAGCACAGCCATGCGTGGCTCATTACACACACACACACACACACACACACACACACACACACACTTTTGTTTAAATATCTTGTTAATTATTAACAGTTTTTGTAAGTTTGTTTTTGTCTTGGGGTGACACCCAGAGGTGCTCAGGGATCACTCTTGGTGGGCTTGGAGGACCATTTGGTGTGTCAAGGATCCAACCCAGGTGAACTGTGTGCAAGACAGGCACCCTGCCCACTATACTACTGCTCTGATCACTATTAACAGGTTTTTTTTTCAAGAGCTCTAACCTAACTTCTTATTGGAAATTGAAGGCCTTAGAGAGTTGTGTAAGAGTTGTTCAGGAGATAATCTGGTTAATTTTGATTATATGGTATTATATGAGATTATTATATAGAAGCATACAGATTTATTTTCTTCTTTAATTGTTATTTTCTAAGTCACTCATTCTCTGTATTTTAAAATACATCAAGAAATAGCTATGGACTGGAGCGATAGTACAGTGGATAGGGCATTTACCTTGCACACGACCGACCCGGGTTCGATCCCCAGCATCCCATATGGTCCCCCGAGCACTTCCAGGAGTGATTCCTGAGTGCAAAGCCAGGAGGAACCCCTGTGCATCGCCAGATGTGACCCAAAAAAAGCCAAAAAGAAGATAAATATGTATGATTGGAGCACTGCTCTTGTTAACTGACATTCTTTTGCTTATCATATATAGTTCAAACACTTTATTCCAACGTCAGATTTTCAATGTGTTAGATTCTTCATCTGGATATCTCTTTCATTTCTGTTGGGGATTATCATTAGTCCATTAACACCTAATGAATTTGGCTGGAGCGATAGCCCAGCGGATAGGGCGTTTGCCTTGCACACAGCCAACCCGGCTGACCCGCATCCGATTCCTCTGCCCCTCTTGGAGCCCCAGGCAAGCTACCGAGAGTATCTCGCCCGCACGGCAAAGCCTGGCAAGCTCCCCGTGGTGTATTCGATATGCCAAACACAGTAATAACAAATCTCACAATGGAGACGTTACTGGGCCCGCTTGAGCAAATCCATGAACAACCAGAGGTCAGTGCTACAGTGCTACTGTGCTACAGAATTTGCACTTATTTCCTCCCTTTCCGGGCAGTTTAGAAATCATAACACGAGGTGGCGCTATTGGGTTATGTTTGCACATTGTGAGCTTGAAGTCGGACTCCGTGTCCGCACCATCAGGATTTTAACTTTTTTACATTTCTTAAGACTATTACAGCATTTTGGGCCAGAGAAATAGTACAGTAGGTAGGAAGTTTGCCTTGTACGCGGCCGACTGGGTTCGATCCTGGGCTTCACATCCCTGAGCCCTCCAGGAATGATCCCTGAGCACTGCCAATTGTGATTCCCCCCTATACCACCCACCCCACCCCACCCCACCCCTGCCAAAAAGAAAAAAAAAACAGCATTTTAATACAAATGTTTTATGCCTTGGTGACATTTTAAGGCAGCCACAACTTCTTTAATTTGTCTAAAATAATAACCGTGAAAATTATGCTGGAAATTTGCTTTCTCTTTTTTATGCCTTGGGATTTTAAATCTTGTTTAACATTGATTCCTTTTTTTTTTCCTGGTAAATATTTTCAGTTTTAATGAAAGTTAAACAGTTTGACTCATATAAGTTTTTCACTTACCACTCTGAAAAGTTTCGATCATGAATGCCTCAAAGGTGTGCAAAAATAAAAATATGGGGCCTGGAGAGATAGCACAGTGGGTAGAGCACTTGCTTTGCATTCAGCCAACTGGGCTTTGATTCCCAGAACCCCATATGGTCCCCAAGTCCCCAAGGAGGGATCCCTGAGCGCAAAAGCAGGAATAATGCCTGAACACTGTCAGGTGTGGCCCATAAACAAACACAAATTTTAAAAATAAATGATGAAAGATGAAGAGATACGGACGGGGGCATTTCAGAAGAAGAAGTTTGAGAGCAAGGTAGCATGGCCAGGAACTTAAACCCTTAGTTTAAAAACTGACAGCGCGGCTCTCCGGCACGGCCATGGCTCCAGAGGCACAAGGACTTAAGGCAGAGCCCGGCAGCTTGCGGCAGAAAAGTGAATGGACGTTAATCCATGGTATGAACCGGAGGTGATGGGACAACTGAAACCTCATGGGAAGAGGGGCGTTCCAGGCTCATCCTTCATGCCCTACCAAGGTCACGAGTTGCCCCCCACAAGAGGCTCTCCAGCACAGCCATGGCTCCAGAGGCACAGAAACCAGTCTCGTAATTATCTGGCTCTTGGCAGAAATACCTCCAGGCTTAATCGCGCAGCCGCGCAACATCATATGGTTCTGATAACCTGCTGTAGAAAACAAATTATTTCACAATGCCTTTTCAGCAGTTCTGATTTTTGGGTGTCTGTCAGTCTGTCTGTCGTCCCGTTGTTCATCGATTTGCTCCAGCGAGCCCAGTAACGTCTCCATTGGAGACTTTGTTGTTACTGTGTTTGGCATATTGACTACATCACCGGTAGCTTTTTGTCGAAATAATGAATGTAATCAAAATAGATAGAGAGTTAAGTAGAATTCATCTGCCTCACAAGCATTGGGAGGGGTGGAAGGGGGATATTGGGGTTCTTGTTGGTGAAAAATAAGTATTGGTGAAGGGAAAGGTGTTTGATCATTGCAGGACCGAGACTTAAACCTGAAAGCTTTGTAAATTTTCCCACAGTGATTCAATAAATAAATATTAAAAAATAATAATAAAATCAAAAAACTCACAGCGCTTCAAGCAGGATTTAAAAATAAAATCAGGGATCAGAGAATTAGTCTAGGGAATAAGACATTTGCCTCACATATGGCTGACCCGAGCTCGATCCCCAACACCCTGTAGGGCCCCCGAGTTCCTGGAGGATCGCTGAGCACAGCCAGGTGCGACCACAAAACCAAACCAAAGCAAGAAAAGAATTAATAAATAAAGTAAAATCTGAACACGTCTCTGAGAAAAAAGAGAATACCACGACAGAAATGAAGAATTACTAGAAACCAGTGGCCTGTGATGCCTCAGTTTTTTTTTTTACTTTTCTTTGATTTTTCTCACAATAATTTATAACATTCAATATTCCAACAACAATCCCACCACCACACACCTTCCCACCACCATATTTTGGACGTTTCCACCCTGACCCCCAAACCCTGCCCCCAATGCAGGACCTAAATAATTTATTTTGTATTGCTTGTTACAAATAATCCACTAAAAATGATTCCAAAAAATTTCCCTAGAGGAAAGTATGTGAAGATTGTTGTATTTTTACCCTGGATCCATTAAGCCCTCATATAAGAATTGCAAGCCGCCACGCATTCCAAGAATCCTAAAATGTTAAATACTTTAATACAGCTGAGGTTAATTTAATTTATTTTTAAACTGGATGGTGACATTGGGGTCTAGAGGCATCTCTATGGCATATTGTTCTGTGTTATTCTCTTCTGAAGGCTAGAGTGATAACACAGTAAGTAGGGCGTTTGCCTTGCACGAGGCTGACCCAGGTTCGATTCTTCCGCCCCTCTCGGAGAGACTGGCAAGCTACCAAAAGTATCCCGCCTACACGGCAGAGCCTGTCAAGCTCCCTGTGGCGTATTCGATATGCCAAAAAACAGTAACAAGTCTCACAATGGAGACGTTATTGGTGCCCACTCGAGAACAACAGGAGGACAGTGCTACAGTGCTGCTCTCTTCTGAGAGATTTATTTGTAAGTCTCTGGATCATGGCCACTAATGAGCTTATGTGGTGCAGAGGCAGTTCCTGGGAGTGACTGCCAGGCTACCAGAAGCATCAGGATATGTGGGAACGTCACCCATTCCCGACTCCGTCTGAGCCTGGGGATTTCAGGCCCAAGTCTCTCCCCACACCTTGTTTTCTCAGCACATGTGCTCATGGGTGAAGCTCATTCGAGTCTGTGGATATTGGCTCGGAGCGTGGTGGTGATTAAGGTTTTTCAACAAGCCACCAGGGATCTGTTGGGGTGGGTTGAGGGACTCACCAACCCAGCCCCAGGTTGCCCTGGATGAGACAGCCTGGCGGATAGTCAAAATAGTCATGGTTTTTTTGTTGTTTGTTTTTGGTCACACTCAGCGATGCTCTGGGATTACTCCTCTGCACTCAGAAATTACTCCTAACAGTGCTTGGGGGACCAGATGGGATACTGGGAATCGAACCCGGGTCGGCCGCGTGCAAGGCAAATGCGCTGTCCCCTGTGTGATTGCTCTGGCCCCGCTGCCATAATTTATTTTTATTTTTTAAAAGTTGTTCACAGTGATTTATCATATTCAGTATTCCAACACCAGTTCCATCATCATTACACCTTCCCACCACCATTATTTTCAATTTTCCCAACTACCACCCAAGCTTGCCCCAATAGCAGGCCCTCAAAGATCTATTTTTGTATTGCTTGTTATGATTAATTCACTAAAACGATCAGAAAGGTTTCCTTAGAAGAAAGTGTGTGAAGATTGTTGTATCTCACCCTGGAGCCATTAAGCTCTTCTGTAAGAGATTACGAACATGTTGTTACAATGTAAGCCTTGTGTGCTAATATTTTCTTAACCAAGATTGGTTGCCTTCTTCTTTACATCCCATCCAGTGTGTTGTGCTACTCCTGGTACATCAGTGGTGTAGAGTATGGAATGTCCTAGCCGCACACTCCAG